GTAACTTTAAAAAAAAATAACTTTTTGTCATATTTGCTGAAACTTTCACTATATTCTAACAGAAGTACATGAGAGAGATAATCTGTGAAACAATCAGGTTCCTCTGGCTCCTCCTAGTGCTCCTAATGGTATTTGCAAGAACCCACTCGGCCTGAATGAAAACAACCACTCAAAGTTGAGAAAAGATAACTGAATCAACTATCTTCAAGCCACCAACCCAAAGTGTCAGCATTTAATGACCTGGGAATTAGACGTTTCCAACAATAACTTACCAGATAGTTTTGTGTAAAAAAAACAGCCAGCTCAGTTAGGTTACTGTTGTTCATACCAGGTATGAGGATAGGAGTAAATGGCTAAATATCAGTTCATCATACTTAAGGGGTTGCCATTAGTATAGTTCTGATTATGTTTAAACTTCAAAAGATGTGCTGAAACAGAACTTGAAACTAAACCTATAATAATAATAAAGATGAAGGTCATTTCTATAAAACCAACTCTCAAAACCAGAGTTACAAAGTGCTACACAACCTATAATATCATACAATATAAAACCAAAAATTTAAAATAGAGAGAAAATTCAATATAATTGAGATTTCCATGAATAGTCAAATAGAGAGAGAGAAAAAATACATAATTCAAATCAGTATCTCCACTCTAGCTTTATAATAGAGCCTGCTACAGCCTCTGAAAGAGGAGTGGAAGAGGTAAGAATAATGGTGTGGCACTTCGGGTGGCCAATCAGATTTCAGGGGTGGCCAGTGCCATCCTAGGCCCCCTCTCTGGACACACCCCTTCTCACTAGCATGTACAAACAAAACCTACAAATAGACACACCTTGTTAAGATATAGTACTTGTTACCAAGATTACAGCTACATCTGAGAGAAAGAAAAAGGCAAAAATATGTTAAATCTGAACAAAATGTAATTAATTACTGTAGATTGGTGGAAGAGGACTAACACTTGCACTTTCAGTTATCTTGACGCCATTTTATTTAGTAAAACTTTATTGCTGCTTGAACAAATAAAGCAACATAAAATATTACATTTCAACTGAGCACCTTGGTGTGAAGTCTGCCTAACACAAAATGCCATAACATTCTACTCCTGGCTGTGTGTGTGAGGCAGATAATTATGTCTGAAACAGATGGTGGGTCAGATTGGGATCTGATGGTCGACTGGTTTTACACTTATTTAGTGATTACACACAAGCATACGGACACACTAAAAGAATGTGCCTAATATCCCCAGCAGGGATTATGTCATTTTAGCTACACAGGCTGAGGTGCACAAAGAAATACTGAAAATCTTGACCAAAGTACAAAGGTTCTGCTATCTCTAGCAACAGTGACACTGACAATATATAATTGGTGGACAGAACTTCCAGGTCTGTGAAGTGAAGTCAATGCGGAACTCTCTCAAACTTGCATTTTTTTCTAATAGCCAGCTGAGGGCAGCTACATGGGCTGCAAAACAGATCCGATAGTATGGAGCCTTATGGGGAAATTAGTCTACTTCTGACTTGTTTTATGAGCTCAGTAAACAGTTTCCTAATGAGTTGATGGTCTCAATCTCTAGTCAGTCTTCTTCCATACAACATGATGTTCATTAAGTAAATTATGGTCGCATTTAGAGTAAAATAAACAATAAAGCAGAGTATGCTATAGGGAGTGGCATTCTTGTAATTGATAAGTCATTTTCAGTGACGCAACGCAACAAACTCAGATCAAACTGTCAAACTAAGAACGTGTGTGATCGGGCTTGCCACCATTATTTCCTGCTACGGACAAGTCGAAACTAAGTGAACTTGCAGTATGTCACTACTGCTGGCTCTGAAAAACCGACATGGCAACAACCTTAAAGCCAAATTTGAGCCTTTAAAAGGGTACTACGCAAAACAAATAGTGATGTCTCAATAGGTTCTCAATTGGCCCCACCAGGGATATAGGACTCCCACAGTTCAGCAAGTTAGATCACGTTGCCATCTTCTTTACACTAGAACGTAAACAAAGAGATATGTTCCAATCAAGCCCTACTGTCACTACACTGTCACCTCAGAACTAGAAATCATGTGTTGATGGATCTATCAGATTAGATTAGTACGGAAGGGCCATGCATTCATACATTT